TGTTACTCTGACATCCTTTAAAAAAAATTAATGAACATTCATGGCAGAGAAATAATATTTTTAATGCTGAACAAATACAAAATATACTAACATTTCATTTTTATTTTTAAAAACAGTAGGAAAAAGCATACTATGTATAAGGAACAAAAAGCACCATGAACAATTAGTTGCTCACATGCAAATCAGTCAAACTAAAAGCATTTTTTTCTACTCTAAATTTCCAAATCAAGAAATATCACAAGTTAATTGTGTAAAATAACCACTTTTGTAAAATTTGCATTTTCTTTTATGTTTACTACTTTCTCACTAATGATGAATTGTTAGTTTTTATAATTTTGCTTTTATTGAAATTAAAAAAAGTCTACGCTATTTAAGACTTCTTTTTTTTTTAATTTAAGGACTGTGATGAATCTAAACAATTGTTCCTAACTTTAAATTATTTTACTTTCTCAATGATAACATTTCTTTAGCTATTTAAGCTATAATATTATTTTTAAATTGAGGTTGCTTAATTGTTCCTACTAAATAAGCTGTGGTTCTTACAGACATTATATTCTGCTTCCCTGAGGTTTTTGCATGATTTATTGCTGCTTTGTATGGCTGCTCATATAAAACATAACAAAATAAAATCTAGCATTCTATTCAAATTCATCATCAGCTTACAGTGAACAGGTACTTTGGTATTCTAGTAAGTCTAAAATGGAAAGCTGTATTACCTGTCTTTGCATTTATCCTCCAGTAGTTCCTTTTACCTTGAATAGGTTTTTTTTTTTTTTTAATGTCCTTTATTTTGATTAAAAAAGGACTGATTTTTACATGGTGACTTATCTAAACACTTTATTAAATTTAAGAGAGAGAAACAGAACCTATATATTCCAGGCTTCACCAATGCATGCCAGTAATATTCACACTTCCTTTTTATTTCTAATACTAGCCCTTATACTGATCAACTTTAGAAAGTCCACTGTTTTATCAGACTATCCTCTCTTAAAATTTCTAGAATCCTTCAGTTTTGTATATTTGTGATGCTCATATTAGGGATACTATGTTACAAATATCAATGCTTAATATATAAACATCTGTTTTTTTTTTACTACCTCAAAGTCTGCTAAGAGTTATGTGGCTCAACACAGGAATTCTTCCTCGTTCCAAAATTCTTGACTTTTGTAGCAAAGCCATGTGGAATACAGTGTTCCAGGTCACCAGAACAGGAAATGAAGAGATCTGGAGGGTAATGAATCGACACTTAAATACTTTGGCCTGGAAGCTACACAACTTTTGCTCACAGTCCATTGGCTAAAGCTAGTGACATGGCCCAGCCTAATTACAAGAGATGCTGATGACATGTAGGAAAGCCTATGTGCTGTGAGATGTATATATATATATATATATTTGTTGTTGTTGTTAGATGCCGTCAAGTCAGTTCTGACTCATAGCACCTCAGTGTACAATAGAATGAAACACTGCCTGGTCCGACGCCATCCTCACAATCGTCGTTGTGCTAGTGCCCATTGTTACAGCCACTGTGTCAATCCATCCCATTGAAGGTCTTCCTCTTTTGTGATGACCCTCTACTTTACTGAGCATGATGTCCTTCTCCAGGGACTGATCCCTCCTAATAACGTGTCCAAAGTATGTGAGACCAACTCTTGCCATCCTTGCTTCTAAGGAGCATTCTGGCTATCCTTCTTCCAAGGCATATTTGTTCGTTCTTTTGGCAGTCCATGGTATGTTCAGTACTCTTCACCAATACCACAATTGAAAGGTGTCTATCTTCTGTCTTCCTTATTCATTGTCCAGCTTTCGCTTGCTTATGACGTGATTGAAAACACCATGGCTTGGGTCAGGCACACCTTAGACTTCAAGGTGATATCTTTGCTTTTCAACACTTTAAAGAGGTCTTTTGCAGCAATGCAATGCATCTTTTGATTTCTTAACTGCTGCTTCCACACGTGTTGATTGTGGATCCAAGTAAAGTGAAGTCCTTGGCAACTTCAATCTTTTCTCCGTTTATCATGATGTTGCTTATTGGTCCAGTTATGAGGATTTTTGTTTTCTTTATGTTGAGGTGTAATCCATACTGA